CCATTAGAATACACAAAAACTGTATATGAGTACTCACAAAAGACTCAATATGACACAGTAAGTACTCGATCGTCGTACTCAGATACTCAGATTCTAGCACTAGTACTACTGATGAGTACTCAAAACCCATGAGTACTCATGAGTACTCGCGGCATTTTCTAGCGTGAGTACTTTTTGAGTACTCTCTTGACGAGTACCTTCACTAGGGAAATAAGAGAATTCGATTTTTACATATTTCAATGATAATTATATTGTGCTGTATGTGCTATGTTTACCATAGCGTTTTGTTCTTTACATTTGTCAACAATTTGAGAATATAAACTAAAATAATTTAAAAGAAATAACAGATTTATCTGAATTGATTTTTTTTAATAAATAAAATACATTCCTAACATACAATATAAAATTTAAGAAAAAACAATATTTGTCTTTTATTTCAAAATTCTAATCACACAATTGAAACATTATTGTCCATTCGTTCATATTACGATCGAGAATCGATCGTTTAACTAATTAGAAGAAAGATAATTTCAAAAAGATTTTATATAAGAAAAGGACAAGTGAAAGAGAAAAAAATGAATAAAATAATCTTACTGCAGTATTTGTTTCAATTGCTACATGCAATTTTTTTGATCAGATCATTTCAAACTGAAAAGAAAAGAAAAGAAAGATAATTGATGAAATAAGAAAAACAAAAAATTGTACGTTGCTCTTGAAATGTATCATAACTTTGTTTAATGTGAATTTGATCACTTAATTTTCAATTGAATATTTTAATTCTTTTAATTAGATAAAAATTATTTTAAAATGCAGTCAACAATATAAGATTAACCTTGTTTGCAATTCATTTGTATATGAATTGAGTCATTTAAACATACTGTCGACAAATTTATCTTTACGGAAGTAATATTGGTAAATTATTGATGAATGAAACAAAAGATTTAAATGAACAAAAGCAAATAGATGAGTTAGTGATTAAATTGATCATTGGTGAGTCAATAGTCAATGATCACATTTGCATGAATCATTAAATCAATGTCCAATGAAAGATCCAGTGATGCACTTAAGATGAAACTCATTTCGAAAAGCTCATATTTGCAGCATATCAAATATAATCGTGAAAGTTAACTAAAATCAAGGAGTTGATATAGCGACATCTTCCCTTTATATTTGTTTTCAAGGAAAATTGATTGTACTGTTATGAAATTCCGACTGCAGTATAGGGCCATGATTTACATGAAACTCATCTTTCAGAAACATAAGAGATATAGGTAGTGAATACGCCTTCTGTTTTCATATATTTTTGTCACAATTTTTTTCTGCCTTTTCCATCCGAACTAGCCCATGCCGCCTTTTTTCATGCTAAACCGCCGGTAACCGGTGGTCGCAATAAAACCACCGGTTAACTGCGGTTAACTGCTGGTTTCGAGCAGTTGATTTTAATAAGTGGAACAAAGTAACAGTCAAAACTTTCATGTGGAAAAAATAATGAATAATTATTAAAATCATTTAAATTGCTTTTTCTTAATGCGTTTCATGAAGCTTTTAGTATAAAAATATATACCTATTAAATATGATAAAACGAGGTCACTTTTCTTTTTCCTATTGGATTACTTGATTATTTTGAAACTATGGAAAACTTGTTCTTTACATACGCTATAATAACAGTAATTAGATCACAAGATATAATATGCATATTTATTATTTCACTAGATATCGTGTTGCATATTTTTAGTACAGTCATAATTAACTAAATGACTTTCCTTTATGTGCTACGTTCTTAGCAGAAATAAATATTGCCTTTATTCGTCTTTTTTTTGTTTAGAAGAGATCTCTAGAATTTTGTTGCAATTATAGATATTCGCATTTTCTATATGTACCAAAAATATTTTTATTGTCGTCGTGTCATAGAAAAGCGCAAGCGACGCTTGCGAAGATTAGAAAAAAGTGTTAATTATTCTGATATTTCAAGTTCTAGTGGAAACGAAAACGATCGTCATATGGAAGATACACAACATCGAAGATCAACAATTAATAATAGCTCGTCGGTACTTGATGAGGATGCGTGTAGTTATGAAAAGTATCACGGTGGTGAACATGACAACACAACAAAAGCTATTGATATTGAAGATGATTTTCTTGACCGATTACCACCACTATAAAACGGCAGCAGATTATCCAGTATGAAATCAATGAAATTGTTAATGGATTTCTTAATATCTAGTGCACGTTTAGATAAACAAAGTATTTTACGTTTATTAAAATTGATCAAATTTCTATTGCCACAGCCTAACACATTGTTTACAACTTGGCAATCCATCATGCAGTTATTTGGTCACACAAATTTGTCGTCTACTACATTCTTATGTTCGTTATACCACCAACAATGTGGTAAAACAGCATTTAACACAAAAATATGTAGAAATGAAACCTGTTCACATTCAAAAATGTCATTAAAAACAAATGAAATTATTGAAATAGTTGATCTAGATGTGCGTATTCAATTAAAATTAATTATCAATCGAAACATCAACATATTAACACATAATGAAAATTATTTTCTAACATCTGATATATATAATGACTCTTTCTATCAAACAACAATATCCAAATCAAAATTCAATACAATCACGTTAGTGTTGCATACAGATGGTGAACCTTTAATACGCACCACGAAACAATCAATATAGCCTCTTTTTGCTTCAATAATTGAGATCCCTCCTAGGGTGTGGGTGTCATTCGTCTCTTTGCTGAGATCCACACCGACACAAACACCCATACGCACACCCAGATTCTCATCTATATAAAATTTAGCAGTTATCCTTTGTGAAAATCCATGACACATACAAAAAAATATCTTCGAGCTCTAAAAACATGAAGTTTTTGTAATTTACTTTGGAAATGTTTAGTCGTCATTAGAAAAATAACTATCTGTCTTATTCTTTAATCAATCATATTTTATACAAATCAACACATTTTTCTTCTCATCTTTTGAAAGCGAAAGCCATAGATTTCTATCGTATTCAAAGACAATTTTTTTGAAGTTATTTAAATACCTTCGATTTTCAAATAAAGGATAGTTGATTTTGAAATTGCAAAATCAACTAGTTGCCTTTTAAAGGCAACGGAATTTTAAAGTCAACTCCGACATTTATATAAATCAGGATAGATCTCAATATTCAATGAATCATCTTTTTATTACAGTGATGATCACACAAACAACGTCAAAAGTTCATACACAACGAAACAAAAATAATTTCATATCTATATTTTTTTACTCCATCTTTCGATTTATTAAAAACTTTATTAACAACTCAAATTTAAGCGTATGCAAATATCAGTGTATATTTTTTCATTACAACAACACGAAACGCAAGGTTGAGTAAAAAAAGAGAAAGAACACATGAAGAATGAAATGTATGTGATGATAAGCATATGGTTGGAAAAAATGCGTCTACGTGGCGAAAAAAGTCATGATCCATTGATTCATGTAAACATACATTTGTAGGGAAAAAACTAAGCTATCTACGTGATGAAAAAAGTCATGGTCCATTGATTCATGTAAACATACATATGTAGAGAAAAAAACCAAGTAATATTATCGATTATAAATACAGAATAAAACCTGTTGCAAGCACATCAAAGAAAATTTGTACACTCAGCTATCAACTAGCACGTAAGTATATTTAATTTCCAACATTCTTAGACTAGTGATAAAATTAAATTTGAAAGTAAAGAATAACTACAAACAAGAGAAAAACGAAAGCAGTTTTACGAGAGCTCCGCTTGATGATAATCAGGATGTGAAGTCGATTGTCTTGATCGAAGAACCTCTTACATGTATTATAGTCTTACTGTAAACCACGTTAAACACATTAACTTTTTTATGCATACATTTGACTGGAAGTATCAATAATGAAAGGCACAATTTTCAATTTTTATGAAGATAACATAGCAAGGAATTCAAGAAATTATAATAGAATTTGCTCAATGATATAGACACACAAAGAGAACCTATTTGAATCTTAATGTACTGAATTAAAATCTAAGATTTGTACATGAAAACAATAAGTCCTTATTCACAGAATAGAGTAAGTGTCCAGATAACCTCTTGAAAGTCAGCTCAGATAAAAAACAACCTTCATGAAGTAATCATTAGAGAAGATGAAATCGAATCGATTTCGACTTTTCATCACTCCAGCTGTGTTTTCTTTGCATAGAAGACAAGCTTATATAAGAGAAAGGGAACTTGGAATGAGAGAGAAATATGAAGAGAGAAAATAGTGAATATAAGAAAGAAAGCACAGGCAGCTATTATCCTTCATGAGATTCTACTATTGGCATACTAAGAGCATGATCAAAATTGATAATTCGATTGTTGTGTAACAAAAGAAAAAATTATAATCGATTATAACTTAGATTTTGTTTCACCATAATAATAGTGAAAATCCTCATATAACTAACTTCAGCACGATTTTGATTGATTTTATATACTGTTGTACTGGTTAATAAATGATAAGGTGAAACAAAATAAAATAGAGTCTTTTCCGATGTAGAAAAAACATGAAAAACATCGATTAAAATCAGAATTTTTTCCTACTTTTTCTTTACATGGGAATTCTGTGCCCCAAATCTATGCTACTTGCTAATATATTTCAACCTTTCTATTGTCCATTCCACAGTTAAATGGCCATGGACATTTTTTGAATAATTTTAAAACAGAAAGAAAGAAGTAAGCTAACTTTTTTGTAGTATCTAAAGTCGACACTGCCCTATCTTTTTACAAAGTCGATGAAAAATTCCAGTCGCTTTTCTTCGTGGATACATGATAAATTTTGAAGATGAGCTTAATTCGCTTTGGAAACAACATACTTTCTCAATTGTAATATAATGGGTAGATAGTCTAACTTCTCCTTTATCGATCCACATAAGACCGAGAT